TCTCGTTTTAATTATTATTTTGGAAAATACTGCTGCAGGATTTCAAAAGAGTCTCCAAGCCCCTTCTAGAAGTTCAAGTACATTTTTTGAAAGAGCATTTTCAAAAGTATAGATTGTGCTGAATGCCTTTGGTTATGAATGGATTAGATGTGCGTTATCTCCCAGAGAAAAATGTGTCTGGAAACAGTCTGCATTCTTAGGGGGATAATTAGTTCATTGTGCTTAGCACAGGGAGTCCTCCCTTGGTGTCCTTAAAGATGGGACTGATCTAGTATTGAAAGCAAAAGACTATTTGTAACATACTGCTAGCTTGGTATCTAAAAATTGTTCAGTTCAGAAATAACCAAGCCTTGATTTCATCATCTCTGGACAGTAAAGACCAAAATATCTTAATAAAAGAACAGAGTAAAAAAACAGAGCTAATGATTATCACAGAGACAAAGAAGAGAGGCCATGGAGGAACTCCTGAAACAACCCGACTTTAGAGTCCCCGGGATGTGTGTCCTTCCAGGCTATCTCGGGTGGTTTTCATGGCTAACTGGTATATGATGGAGAAGTTGAACTGCGACTTGATAGGCAAGGTAAGGGTGAGCCATGACAAAGTGTTGTGAATTTGTTGTCTGTTTGCTAAAGTTCTTACCATTATGCCTCAGTACAGACATTTTTGTGCAACAGAGGATGAGGAATTATATTTTCAGTTGGATAATTTGAGTACTGGTAACTATTGATTAGGCTTCTTAGGTGGAGCTAAGAATCCGCCTGCCAATGCAGGAGATGCAGGTTCGATCCCTGGGTCAGGAAGATTCCCTGGAGGAGGAAATGGCAACCCACTCCAGTATTCTTGCCTGGAAAATTCCATGGACAGAGGAGCCTGGTGGGCTACAGTCCATGGGGTGGCAAAGAGTCAGACGCGACTGAGCACACATCTGTATCTCTGTCTAACTATTGGTTATTTATAGTTTGGTTTCTCAATACTCCATGATTAACAAAAAATACTCCTTTCATTTAATATCCCCTTGACTTGAGGGCTTTCCTCTGCCTTAAACCTATGTCTTTTGCTGACGGTAAACATTTCTCAAATTTGTGAAGACAAAGTTGCTTATCATTAAAGTTATTTCACTTTGAAAGTAGTCCTTGAAAAAGAAAAAAACAGATGAGCTCTTTTGTTTAACAGTTTGGTTTATATCACAATAGTAAGGCAGTTTATAGCTAGTGAGATTTTCTGGGTGGAGAGTAGCTTGAAATAGTGTATATATATTTTTAGTAAACAAAGCCTGCAAGGCAGAAGGATGTTAGTACATGATATCTCACTTTCATAGGGGAGGTCATCATCCTAAGGAACATCAGTGGACGCGTGATGCCTCTTGGCATGCACATTTATTCTACGTCATGAGCCTAGAAAATGTAATTTTGTGCCTTTTTCTTTCAAAAAAAAAGTTCTAATAGACTAAAAATGTATATTTATTTGGAGTAGGAAATGGCAACCCACTCCAGTATTCTTGCCTGGAAAATTCCATGGACAGAGGAGCCTGAGGAGCCCGACAGGCTTCGTCCATGTGGTCGCCGAGCTGGATACGACTGAGCACAAACACACAAATATATATTAAGGCTGTTTTGTCAGTGGCTTGTTCATTAGTAAATGGTTGGCTTTACCATTTGTCTGGGGAAATGTCACAGTGGCGATATCTTAAATCACAAAATAAACAGATCCCCTGGCATCCAGCTTTTAAATTGTTATGCTTGATATGTAAAATATTAGTTGTGATTTGAAATACTCCCTTATAACTTCTAGCACCTGTATCTGAAAATGTAAGATGATTGTTTAAACCTGCCTTACCTAGTTTGGATGATATGAGGCAAAATCTTTCCTTGAGTCTGAAAAATGTCTGCACGTCTCTGTCCTTCCTACTTTTTCCAGGCCGCTCTTTCATCCTTCATTGCCCAGCTTCTTGGAGCTATTGCCTGGCTGCAAAGTCAGCAAAGTCTGTCCACTAGGTCACACCCTGTCAAGTCCCCAGAGCTGCGTGTTATTTGCGCTTCCTCCCCGCAGTCTCCCATCTCTGCCTCCCAACCCCCTTCCCGCCTCCTTCCTAAACGACCTACATGGATCCCAGAAGGAGGTTCAGGCTTATGACACCACTGTGGTAATGACTCTGTAACCCTTCCCAGGGAACATCAGAGTTTTAACAGACAACTTTTACCTTAAACCAAAAAGAACTTTTTTTGGAAAAAAAAATTTTTTAATATGGATGCTTTTTAAAGTTTTTAATGTATTTGTTACAATATTGTTTCCATTTTATGTTTCGGTTTTTTATTTGCAAGGTACTAGGATCTTGTCTCCCTGACCAGGGATTGAACCCACATTCCTTGCATTGGAAGGTGAAGTCTTAACCACTGGATCTCCAGAGAGGTCCCAACCAAAAAGAACTGGTTTCTCTTAGTGGACTGGCAGACTGATTCTGGGGAAGCATGTTTTTAAATAATGGGGCTTTCTGGTCTTCCTCCAGTTAGGCCACAGGACAGGCCTGCACTTGGCTTGCTGGCTGGTGTGTGTCCTGCTGGCTGCAGGCATGTCCTGTGGGAGCTGCTCTTCTACCCCTGGATCTCCACTCCTGGCAAGGACACTGTGAATGGCTCCTGAGCTGCCTGTAACCAGAGTTGCAAGGGAATTAATAAGAGCTGCATCCCAGTGAGAGTGTTTTTTCCACCTTGTTGTTGTACAGTCACTGAATTGTGTCCAACTCTTTGCAATCCCGTGGACTGCAGCACACAGGCTTGCCTGTCCTTCACCATCTTCCGGAATTTGCTCAAACTCATGTCCATTGAGTTGGTGATGCCATCCAATCATCTCATCCTCTGTCGCCCTCTTCTCCTCCTGCCCTCAATCTTTCCCAGCATCGGGGTCTTTTCCAATGAGTTGGCTCTTTGCATCAGATGGCCAAAGTATTAGAACTTTAGTTTCAGTGCCAGTCCTTCCAATGAATATTCAGGTTGATTTCCTTTAGGATTGACTGGTTTTTATCTTCTTGCTGTCCAAAGGATTCTCAAGAGTCTTCTCCAGCACCAAAGCTCTAGTATACTAGGATACTAGTATTTGCACCTTTTACTTGTCTTGGGATACATTTTGTTGCATGGACAAAAGTCTAGTGGCGAGACAATAGGGCAAGGACTTCCCTGGTAGTCCAGTGGTTAAGAATCCAAGTTCCAGTGTAAGGGAGTAGGATTTGATCCCTCGTCAGGAAACTAAGATCCCACATGCTATATGGCGTGGCCAAAAAGAAGAAACCAAGAGCCACTGCTATACCATCCCATCGCAGAATGTAGATCTCTGGGTCTTCTGCATGAATATCAGATCTACAGCATAGGAAACTTCCCCGCTCTCTAAGCTAATAAGCCAGGGTAGGACAGAGATGATTAGAAAATAAACATAAGACCACATGACTCTCTAAGTATAATAAACAGTCATTTAACGGATGGAAAGAGCAGTGAACTAGAGTGGTTATGGAAAGTTAGATGAGGCTCATAAGATTTCAGCTAACTCTTAATTAGGCAGAAAAAGAGGACTTGGACACAGGTAGGGTGGACGTCATTTTGGAGGGCAACAGAGGTCACCCTGGAGGACAGACAGAGGGTAAGAGAATCCGAACAGCCCAAGGAGGGCCCTTCCTCTCAAACTGCTCTTTTAGCATCAGTGCCGAAGTGATTTCCATCAAACTGGTAAATTGGGGGGGGGGGGGGGGCGGATTATTCCAAGTTGTCTTCTGAACTGACTGATCAGTTTCCATCAGAATGGCCCACTGAAGTAAACCTGTATATGTTCAGCTTTATTTGAGAGGAAGCGGGCATTAAAACAAATTATCCTATTATGTTGTTAGTTTAAAATCACTTAATAGGTATGCTAGAAATAGCTATATTAAAGATGATCAGCTAATGTTATTTTTCATAACCACAAATGAATGCTTTAAATGGAACTTCTATTTAAAGGATTTTGATGCTCTGAAGTAGTTTAGTTTTAGGTATCTATACATGAGCATAATCCAAACCTTGAGTTTTATCTCCATGGTGCAGTGGTATCAGTTTTCAAGAACATTTTTGTACTTCTGAAGACCTTCATCTAAAGAACTCAATATCTTTCTCAAATATGAACCTTTTGAATCTTGGTATAAAAATAGATCTAGCATTTGGAGAAAGACAGCTAGCCTTAGGGAAATGGAAACCCAAAATAATTAGAAGCTCTTTCCTACTGAAGTGTGCAAGTTAGATCATTGTGTCTCTTCACTACTTAGTATTTATGAATATAAAATCACAGAACTAAACTGTTTGTCTAAGAAATGCCTGTAAGTTTACATTTTAGCTATTTTGTCTTCAGATAGATTTTTCAGTACTGTTTTTAAAATACTCAAATGTATTCTTATGTAACCTTGCTTACTTGACACTGTATTCATTGTCTCATTAAGGGAAACTGAGGATTCAAACCTCTGTCAACGGTGTGTTATTCTCTGCCCCACCCCCATCCCGAAACTTCACTTTAAAACTTAGAGGAGACATGTGTCCACTTCCTTTGAAACAGATTTAAAAGCCGGGAGGTGCACTTGAAACTAACAGGGCTCCGAGATCTTGCTGCTTTTGCGGAGTTTAATGAGAACGGTGGCTGGATCCAGGAAGGGAGAGCCTGAGCAGCTGTAGGCGAGTGTGGGTTGTATTTGATGTTCACAAAAGAATGTCAGTGGCAGGGTGTTGCTCAGCGAAGTGTGCATTTTCAAGTTACCCACAGTGGTGTCTATTGTCCTGTTTCTCAATTGAATGATGTCATGTTTCATTTAAGGCTCTTAGTGATGCTGAAGTCTGTGGTCTGCACACCAGGGGGAAAAAGGCAGGGAGAAAGTTGCCAATCAGGTTTTTGTAAAGCCTTTGTGTGTTGGGTTTTGAGAGATAAAAGCTGACTCATGCAATATTTCTGCGGAAGGAGCTGCACAGACTAGTAAAGACTTCTGGTTTTACCTGACTGAGCTCCCAGTGAGGTCAGTGCATCAGCTGAAGGCAGACGATGTGGCTTCGCCTGGGCACAGCCCAGGTAGGTGCAACCATGGATGTGTCTGGGGAACCGATGCTCGACACCCTCGGTCCTTCCTGCTGGAGCAGCCGAGCCCAACCGCCTCGGTGAGAAACTGTCGCGGGGATTTTCTCCACCACACTGCGCAGGGCCAGCCACTCGCTTGAATATATTACAAGTGTTCTGTTATTATTGCTATGGACTGAAAAGTGTTCTCCAATAATAGAATTAATCTAGAAGGTGATTTTTTTTTTTCTCCCTCTGAACTGCAGTCTGCCTTCAAAGGTTTTTGTCTTGTTTTGGTTTGAATTTGATCTCCCCTTAAAGTTAGGTTGAAGTAATCTAGAGAGCTTGATGTTGGTGACTCTGGGGAGAAAAATAAAACCTAAGTGTTCGTGCAGTGATTGCTGAGTATTTTCATGTGCTTTCTTTATGAGGTTCACGCAGGTTAAGCTGGGGAACAAAATAAATGTTTGCAAACTTTATACTTAGCAACTGTAGCGATGGAATCTAGTCTGAGTCTAGTGGTCACCAAAGTTGACGGAGTAAATGCAGTTTCCACGTTGAGTGCTTATTGGTAAGAAATTCTTTTGTTAGGAGGAATAATTGGAAAGAAAAAGGCATGGGTTGTAGTCAGTGCTGTTGCACAGTGGAGTCTGGCTTTTATTTTGTTTTTTATTTTAATTTAGTGATACTAATATATTTGAGAGAAGATGTATATATTTGGCATTCCTTTTCATTAATCATATGAACATAGAAATTAATTCTTTTCATTGAAAATATTTAAATATTTGTTACACACTGATGTTGTGATTTTTAGTTTCTTTAAATAACTTTTGCAGATTATAAAAGTGGTACACATTGAGGAGTGGTATTGAGAGGTAAATATCAAAGGAAAAACCATCCATTCTCCTACTTTGTAAAACCAAGGTCAATATTGTATTCTGCATCTTTTGAATCATTTTTCTAATGTGGATAATAAATAAGTGGCATTTTTAATTCAAATTTAGAATCACATTGTACCTATGTTTTATAAACCACCCATTTTACTCAGCTATCTATTATGACCATTTTCTGCCCTTAAGGATTTGAAAGAGCATGACATTCAATAGTTTAATATTGTACTTTCTAGATGGATTTATTCACTCAGATCTCTATTGTTAGACGCTTTGAATTCTCTTCCTCCTCTTTTTTCCTCTGAGAAAATGTTTAGTGTACTTTATGGATGGTTTATTTTCTCAGAGTGCTATTGTTAGTTACTTGGGTTTCTCCTTCTCCTTCCTCCTCCTTTTTCTTTAAGAAATGTTATTTAACCTAATCCTGCCTCTCAAGTGAGCAGAGATGTTGTGGGAACTGAGCATGCTCAGTGCAGAGGGAGCCTGTGTATATAGCTATCATTGTTGCATTACTGCCTTGAGACGGATATTTCCACAAAAACAAAAAAAGAAGCCAGAGCATAGATTGTGATTTAGTCTAAGTGAAAACATAGAAGTTTTTTTAGCCTTTAGCAAAGTCAGTGATATATGTTTCATCATTGAAGACCTGGCATTAATAGAATGTAGAAGGAAATTGCTATTCTGTGGTTACTGCTTGTCCTGTGATTCCAGCTAGGAATGGGCCATGCAGATGTGGCATCCATGTGACTTGGTGTTTATTTCAGGGTTGGGACTGTATCCCTGCAGTTGGATGGGACCTGGGGAAGTCAGCTAGTCCAGCTGCCCCACTTACAAGTGAGGAAACCAGAGACTCAAAGGCTGCAATGCAGTGACTTCTCTGGTGGTCCAGTGGTTATGATTCCATGCTTCCACTGCAGGGGTGCAGGTTCAATCCCTGGTCAGGGAACTAAGATTCCAAATGCCAAGCAGTACATCCAAAAAAAAAAAAAATTGCAATACAAACCTCCATGGTACAAAGCCAGGGCACAAGTGCAAATCCTCTATAGGAGAGACACCTAGAACTTGATTTCTGGCTGGTCCACTGAGCTCTTTCTGTACACACAGTTGGGCGTATATTCATTCATTCCTCCACACAAACACACACACACACACACATACACTATTGGCACATTGGTATTGTGCACTTTAAACAAGTAGCTTATGTTTAGTGCATCGTTTCCTGGTCTCTATACTCTTTTTCTGCCCTATTCTGTGAATCTATGCTGTGTGTGCTGTACTTAGCAGCTCAATCGTTTGACTCTTTGCAACCCCATGACTGTAGCCTGCCAGGCTCCTCTGTCCATGGGGGTTCTCCAGGCAAGAATACTGGAGTGGGCTGCCATGCCCTCCTCTAGGGTATCATTCCAAGCCAGGGGTCAAACCCAGGTCTCCCGCATTGCAGACAGATTCTTTACCATCTGAGCCACTAGTGAACCTATAGCCAAACATCAGAAATAATGGGCCAGAAATCAGAAACCATAGTCTCTGATTCACAGTTCAACTTTGAGCATGATGTAACCTATCTTTTTTTCCCATCCATAAAATGTTCCAAAAGTAATGACACATGTGAATGAACTGTGAGGCTTTGTGTGTGGGGTTGAGGGGAGGGAAGTGTGTGTTTTGTCTTTTAAGGATAATTTTCATAGAGAGTTAAAGACCTGGCATATATGGTAAGGCTGATCTGTTATAATAGAGGCTGTTCGGGTTATCACTTGCTGCATTACAAATCACTCCAGGGCCTAGTGGTTTGGAACAACAACAATCATTTCTAATCTTTCAAGGTTTCTGTGTGTCAGGAGTTCAGGAGAGGCTCTGCCAGGTGGTTCTGGCTCAGGGTCTCATGATGTTGCAGTCAGACAGGACAGGCTGGGGTCATCTCTAAGGCTGTTCTTTCATACCGTCTGGTGCCTGGGCCTGAAACACCCAGTCTGTAGGGGCCAGATCAGCCAGGATCCCTTCAGCTTCTCTCTGCATATCCATGTGGTCTCTCGCCATGATTTCTCCAGCACATCAGCTTCAGGATAGCCAGACTTTTTTATATGGTGGCTCAGGGCACGTTTAGACGCACTTACTGCAAGGCCCTTTTGTCTTCATGCTCTGCCATACTCTAGGGCTTTGGGGTCATGTTAATAGCTTGGGCAAGGTCCCCTGCAACATCTGGGTCCCAGTGGGAAGGGGAAGGATGTGGAGGAATGATGTCTGATGCTGGAGAAGTGGACCACCAGAGGGGCACGTATCTTTTCCATTGATGAGAACTTGACCACGTGGCCACGTCTAATGGCAAGGAGGCTGGAAAGTGTGCTCAGCAGAAACTCTCTTCACTAAGGAAGAAGGGGAGTGGGTTTTGGTGGACCACCCCCGGTCCTCCTGAAAGTGACAACAACACCTAGTGTAGCTTTAGCCCTGCTCCATCATCACCTTCACCCTTCAGGTCCCACACTAATTGATCTTCCAAAGCAGATAATAAAAATGAAAAAAAAAAAAAGCCTTGAGGTCCCTAGGTCCTCTTTTTCTTTAACTTTATATTTTCTATTGGGGTAAGCAAAACGGTTGTCTAAGGAGGCCTTACAAACAGCTGAGAAAAGAAGAGAAGTGAAAGGCCGAGGAGAAAAGGAAAGATACACCCATTTGAATGCAGAGTTCCAAAGACTAGCAAGAAGAGATAAGAAGACCTTCCTCAGTGACCAGTGCAAAGAAATAGAGGAAAACAACAGAATGGGGAAAACTAGTGATCTCTTCAAGAAAATTAGAGATACCAAGGGAACATTTCATGCAAAGATGGGCACAAGAAAGGACAAAAATGGTATGGACCTAACAGAAGCAGAAGATATTAAGAAGAGGTGGCGAGAATACACAAAAGAACTAAACAAAAAAGATCTTCATGACCCAGATGACCATGATGGTGTGATCACTCACCTAGAGCCAGACATCCTGGAATGCAAAGTCAAGTGGGCCTTAGGAAGCATCACTACGAACAAAGCTAATGGAG